GATGCAGAACCCGTCGGACCTCCACGTGTCCAGCATCCGCAGCCAAGTGCGCTGCAGTCAGCATGCGGCCATCTCTTGCAGTCAGGTCCTTTCAATGAGGTGAACATAGGTGAACAAATTGCTTAAATTTGGTTCAAGACCATTCAAGACCTCACAACTTTCCACCGGGGTCGCACGGTGAATAGTACCCTGAATAGTACCAGCATCTGCTACTGTTACTGCTATAGTAAGATGTCATGTACTTCTGAGAGAGCAAGCTTGCCTTTGCAAATGAAAACTGCCATGAAAACCGTCGTCGTGGCATGCCGAGAGTCTGGGGAGTGTCTGGGGGAATGAGACAGAAACGAGTTGGGCACCAACGAGTCGGCCCTGAGCCCTGCTGAGCCCTGCTGAGCCCTGCTGAGCCCTGCGGCTGAGACACAGCTCCGAAGTCATACAACAGGCGTAGAACCTCACCACTGCCACCGGTGGCTGCCTGACAAGTGCGTAGTGCGTAGAATGCATAGAACCTCCTGTCTCTCACCTGTCTTTGGTTTTGGTCATGAGTCAGAAATGGTTGGTCGTCTTCCTCAACGCTTTTTCTTTCTCCAGGAGGTGCAGGACGCCTTCCAACACCAGAAAATTCCTCAGTCAGTGCCTCGCCGATTCCTCGGGACCCTTCTCTCGCACCTTGTTTGCTTCTCACCCGAAAAAGGAGCGCACGAGGGTGTCGCCCTCTCGGACCGCCTGGTGCACCGCGGTAGATCCATGCGGCTCGCAGGACTCGTTGGGATCGATCTTCGATTCCAAGAGTCGTCGGACCTGAAGGTCAAGGTGATGACTGTCGGTGATGACTGTGCTGACCCACAGTGATGCTTGAAGGATGATGCGTCCTACATGAGCTTCACACAGCTTGTTACTGGCCAAGTTCTTGGATTCGGAATTCTTGGGAAGGTCAGCTGGTGGCACCTTCGTATATTCTTAGACCCATAGTCGCATTGGGGCATAACATGATATACTCCAACCGGGACATCAATGAAACTCCTCGGGACATCTCACCGTTACAACACAGCAGTGCAGAGGATCTTCCAGTTGCTTGTGTGGACAGCCTGACATCGAACTCAGTTCTATAAGATAATTATTACCCTTGATGAGTTGGGCCAATGATCCTGTTGTGTTTGCTGGAGAACATCTTCCACTGCTCTATCTCCTCTGCACGCATGAAGCTGTTGTCTTGATTTAGAAAACTTGAAAACACCACGTTTGTGGAGAAGAGCAATCCCAACGGGCTCAGCCCATGTTTTGCCTCATCAACATCCCCTGTGCGGCAAGGGCCATGATCGGCACAAAGGCTGCTCATAACTCTCTCTGATGGATCAGGCAAGTGTCAAACCAATCCAATGAATCGTTTCGGCCTACGCACATAGCGTCATGTCTGTTTGTGGAAAGAGATATGGGAAGTTGACCGACGTCCGGCAAACTAAAGTCTATCTCCGCACACTCGGTTGATGAGCCCATAGCTTGCGGATGTCGATCGAAAACAGGTCCGTCCATGATCTGATTCTTTTCATCCATTGTTGGTGCTCGGCCAATGTATTTGGACTCAGCCTGTGAACATGATGCTTTGACTTTCTGTCCTATGTGAGATGGTCGGGCCATGATCAAGTCATGGTTGGGTCATGGCCCACATTTGTTCGCCACCTTAGAATTATGTTTCATCACTTCTTACCCCTCGTGTTCCAAATAAAGGGCAAGTATCATGTAAAATGCCATGAGAGGGGGCCGAGCCGCTCTTACGCTTTGAGCCATTCCGCTTCTTCTCGCCCTGCTTGCGGTGCGAAGGGAGTCTTGTGAGGATTGAAGCCAACTATTCCTAATACCTTTGTTTAACACAAACGTTCCAGCATTTTCCTTGCAGCGCAATCAGTTTGACCGAGTTTGAAAGGGTCTTTTTGAGCGGAAGGGTTGTCTTCGAAGGTGCCCACTTGCTTCACTGGTTTGGTTCCAAGGAGGGCAGGAAGGGCTTTGCGGAAGAGTGGCTGAGGTAAAAGACGTATGTGGGACAAGTGTTAAGAGCGTGGCCACCTGTCACACGAATGTTTCTTCTCCCAAAGGTATCACTTGTGAGAGAAGGATTTGGGGACTCAATTGAACCTATTATAATCTATTGACTTTCTATTTTTGAGTCTGAAATGAGAAGCAAAGGAGCAATGAAAAAAACTCTTTGTTTCTTTGACAGTGCAGCTAAGATTGATATTTGTTCGTTGAGAACCTGAAGAGGCTGCTACTTCTTCAGGATCTTCATCAGTGGCCCTACTAGCAGCGAAGGCATTTGGGTGAAGAGATCGTTTTGGAAGAGCGGAAAGCCGAGTTTGGACTCCAGATTCTACGCCATTTGTGGCACTTTGCGTCCACACCCCGTCTGACCACCTTTGGCCACGCGGCCTCCCGACCCCCCTTCCTTTGGTTCGTTGCGTGGCAGGTCACCCAGGAGACCAGTCTCGCGACGGCCGGTGTTTTGGGTGGAGTTGTGGATCTCGGAAGCTGGGTGGCTTTTGGGTCCGGAGCCACAGGAACCGCAGGAAGTCATAGGCGAGGGACAGCCATTGGATCAATTGGATCTCAGATGGTTTTCTGTCAAAACGAAGATCCTGATTGCCAAAGACTGGTGCTGCTTCGCACGGGATGGGAGCTCCGGGTCTGGATCTTTGAAGTGAAGGTGACCATCCCCACTTAAGGCCACCCAGACCGTTTAAACTTTGGAGTTTGGGTGGAAATAGAATGCTTTTCCTCCGGGTCACTCCAGATCCGATGATGGGCTCAAGCGCTAGGACGACGATATCTCCACCGTCCCCAAGCTATCTTGGAAAGCTCTGATTTGCGGGAAAATACATCTAAAGTAACTCACTGGAAAGCTCGCCAGTGATAAAGGCCAGCTGTAAGTGGTTTTGAGAAACACAACCCTGGCCTATTTGACAGTGTTTGTATATATGTGGAATAAGCTGGCAAAGGCCTGCTCCTCCACAGGTTCTTGCTACAGCTCTTTGTAAGCAAATGCCGGAATTACACCAGGCACTGTGGCAATGCCAAACACTTGGAGCTTCACAAACGCGTTGAGAACTGGCAGCCAGGCCACTTGAACTTCCGGCTGAAGCTCAATGTCCAGAGTCTCCTTTGCACTGCGCTTGTGTCGTTATCAGAGCACATAAGTTGCACTGTGTTTGTGTGCCTCTGATGCTGCTTCCTGCAAGAAACTTCGGCCTGCAACTGCAACAAGTACTGAAACGGACAACCCATGCGCTATTCGGCGTGCCACGCCGGATGCCACACCCTGCTGATCCTTCGATGACACGCCGGACGCCACAACCACCGTCGGATGCCCAGGGCTCTTTCGGCTACAGTATTTGTGCCCACCTGGCATGACCAACAAAGAGCTGAGGCCCAAAATCAATGCAAACACGTCCAATTATATATAAGAAGTCCATGTTTCATAAATTAGTATATAGTATATTATATATAGTATAACCCTCAAACTGAAGCGGAAAATGCCTGAACAACATGCCATAACGTCTAAAAGCTTGAAGTGTATCTGGTGTCGCGGCTGTACGATGAATCAACATGGGAAATCCTCCTTGAAAACATTAAAGCAAATTGCAACAGGAAAACATCAGAGCCTGAGGTGCTCAAGAATTTCAACAGAAGTCTGCAAGGAATAAACATAACGCTTCTGGAGATGGCCAACCTGCATTGCATAATCTGCTTCATTCCTGCGGAATTACAAACTACAAAAGCAAAGCTGTACCTTTTTCTGCTCAATTGCAACATTGTTGCTTTAAGCACTGGTCAAGCACCACCCAATTTTGGGTGACACTGGAAAACGTCAGAAACTTCGTCCTTGCCGCACGCTTGCCGACTCACTTGCTGGGCAAGGACCGAAGGAACCAAAGCGACCGAGGGTGACAAAACAGGTGGAGTCCTTGCCACTGTGCTCATGTGCTTGGACAAACTTGCAATCAGCATTAGTGAGATGACAGCTCAGGTGTGGTTTACTTTGGCTGTTCACTGGCTCTTGGTGTTCACGAAAAACCCAAGGAATGCTCTTGTTCTGGCTCTCGAGTCGGAGCAATTGCTAGGGATAGGATTTGCAGATGTGCAAACATGTGCAAACCATCAGAGAGATGGATTTCATCCAGGTGGATGGAACCAACGTTGTTGCAGTGGTCTCCTCAGCACTTGGAGGGTCCTCAGCATTTGTGCTTCCTTCCACCGGAATAGCGGACGGACGTCCCGTAATTAGTCGAGCCACAGGTCCAAGATCGTCGATCAGCAGACAGTTGATGAATGGAACAACTTGGGTGGGTTCTAGGCGAAATGTGGCCAAATCCCCTAAACTAAATGTGTCACCATAAAAGAAGGCGCTCAACTGTCGGTACCAGTATATCCGTTGCTTCTGTCCGTGGCAAATCAGCCAAGAAAAACCGCAGTTGTATGTCTTGCATTGTTGTTCCGAGAAACCAGTTTGCCCCGATAGAAAGGTTTCATGATGTTTATGTTCATGTCACCTCACCTCCAGGTGGCTCTTGGACCTACAAAGGCGGCAAAAAGGCCAACGGCTGCGGACTTCGGTGATTGCCCCTTTCGGCCCGACAGCCCCGCAGCGGAAACACGCCGACTAAGGGGGGCGTGTTAGGGAGTGAAGTACCACAGCCTAGAGACTCAACATCATATATAGTGGCTATTGTTTGGCAAACTGTTTCTAGTAGTAACAAGTGCCTCGCTAGTAGTAACAAGTGCCTTACTAGTAGTAACAAAAAGCTATTAGAATTGTTTGGCAAGGGAAACAGGATGCTGAGCGGATCATCTGGGCGGGTCAAGTTCTCACTCGATCAGATCGTTCGATGGTGACTGTAGATGGCACTGAGGAGGTGATGTGGGAGCAACTGCCCTCTCTTTTTGTTGCATGGGGATGTACTGTCTGTTTAGCTTAGACATACTTAGTATCTGCAGCTGTGCTTCTAATTCTATGTTTTGCCATGATAGCCACAGATCTAAAAAATGCTGAGCTTAACAAGCCAGTGCGTTCAGTCGGGCAGTGCCTCAGCTTGAGCGGACAGAAACTTGGCTCTCGAATGCACAACTTGGCTTCGACTGCTGTCTACATGGTGACTTGTTTTGCGCTGCCGACGCGCTCTTCCTCGTTTAGGACCTCAACGACTGCTATCTGCTTTGACAAAACACGCATAGATAGTATAAGGCTGATGTTCTGCAAGGGCTTCAGGGCTTTAAAAGGCGGTCCTTCTTTTTCCACCAAGCCTGACGCGTGAATGACACGGAATGACGCGACACCTCCATCTGGCGGGCGTCTCTCCTCCTGTATGTGTCTGCAGACTGTCAAAAAGTAAAACCTTTACCACAGGTGGCCTTTACATATTATTTATTATCTTCCTCATCGTTTTACAGTTCTTTGGCTGACTAGCACGTGCGCGTGTACAGGAAGGTGTTTTAGGCTTGCAGGTTGCTTGTGTTATCGTTTCGTACCCGGAAAAACGTCGATTTCTATGCATAAACAGATGCTGCAACACCACACTGCTCGTTGTCTTGTGGGGGAGACAAACCTGAGATGAAACGTTAAAAACACGTGGAAGGGTTGTCCATGTGCAGGGTTATTGTTCCATGTTCGTCCTTATATCTCGATTTACGGTGGAGGGAGCATCCTTCGGGCAAAATGGATATGCAAGGACCAAACTTATTTACTGTAAATTTGTGAGTGGGGGGCTTTGTACTCTCTTGTTATGTGGTGTCAGAACTAGAAAATAAATCGGCTACATACACAGATAAAAGCCAACATTTCAGGGCCTGATGACCTCCCACTAGATGTCCTTGCCCAGGCACACCCAAGATCTGTCACACAAGTTCACCTTGGCATGACAACAAAAACTTCTCTTGAAACTTGCCGGTCTTCTTCTACAATATATACATACATATATAGGTATACATGTTATTTCATTGACTGCTGAGAAGGTCTCGTGTTCTATTACCTCAATAGTCCAGGATTCCTTGACATGGAAACTTTTTGAGTGCCAAAGCCGGATTCAGTGGGATGCAATGATGTAGACTCTTGATTAAAAAGAACACATTTTTGAGAGGTTTTTCATTCCAACTGGGGGGTTAATGAATCGATATGACTTCCATCAATACAGGCCTGGTGATGTTTTAATGGGTGGAGCTCAGCTCAGAAGAGCTCAGCCTGCGCCTGCGTGCAGTCTGAGATGCCAGGACTTCGCGCAGGAACTGGTATGCCTTGCATCATCACGAACTGTTCTTCGACATCCGAAGAACGTCCTATTCAGAATAGACATATCCAATGTAGAGATGGAGAGAGAGAGACAGAGAGAGAAAGAGAAAGAGAAAGAGAGACCTGATGCAGCATCCACCAGCCCCCTAGATATTGAAAGCACATTCCAACAAGGCTGTATCTCAAATACTTTGCTGAGTTTTCTCCGTTGTCAATCCCCTGCTGATGCTGAGCACAATCAATCCGGCATTTCATTTATAGTAATTGACTTGCCCCTGGCTTTTTGCTATTTTGCTGAGCAGCTCAAGTCCTGCGAGGTATTGGTATTCGGGTCCTCTTCCACTGCATTTGGCAAGCCTGCCAGAAACTTGAGTTACTTCCTGGATAAGGTGAAAGTGAATCGGAGATTTCTGACTTTAATCCAAATTGTATCTGAAACGTGTCATCGCATCTGAAATCAGGTGTTCATGGTTCCGAGTGCAAGTCCAGGGGCACAAACGATGCAACAAAATAAAAACATCAGCAAACATCGTAGAAATCTAGGATCAGGCAAATGATCTTCCCAGAATGTTTGGTGGGAAGCATCATTCAATGTCATTCCCTCCGGATGAGGCCATGCAGCCTGCAGGTTCGATGGTCACAGCCGTTGTCGCAGTCGTTTTGGCTTTGGCCGAATCGCCTCGTTCAGTGGCAAAAAAACTGACCGTACGTATCACTGTTCCACGGAGTTATATAAAATGTTCGGGATTGTACCTAATTGGCTTTACGGCCTTTTACCAATTTGCACCTGATGAATCAGCCAAACAAATGAATGGAGGAACCACCCACATCGGTCATGAACCATCATCTCACTCAGTGACTACAAGCCCTTTCTAGACCCATCATGAAAACGCCGCAACCACCGGCACCATGCCTGCAAAACGAAGCGAAAAGACAAGACACGAACCGGGCGAAGGAGCGAATGCACTCTCTTCAAACAAGCGGCCTGTGTCCTCGGAAGGCTCAACCTTCCTATTATGGGAGTAATCGGTCAACTCTGCGCTCGCATCGGTGTCAAAAATGCCTTGGGCATCTTAGCGACTAGCGTTTCGCTGGAGACGATTCACCAGGTTTCCACGGCATCGCTTGGATACATCACATAAACCGCCTGGACCTGGAACTTTGACGTCGACTACTACAGTTGATCTCCTTTGCATTGGACTTCAACTATAAAATATATACGACTATATATGTTTAAAGTTCTCAAGAGTGACTCATGTATGCACAGGCTGATCCTCTCTCCGGACTGTATCCGGGATATCAACGGATGCTATACCATGCGTCTTGCGCCAAGATGCGTCCAAAAGATAAACTCTCAGAGGTATCAACATGTCTGACGGTAATACCTGCGAGACGGGGACGTCTGGTGGACGTGAGCCTTCCGTTCCTCTGAGCTATATATATGTATATATATACTCAGAACTGAGGAATAAAGACTGGTGAAGTGCCAGGATGCGTGGCTCCTGTCATGATGGTCAAAATATGGTCAAAACACAGGAAGAACCTCAAAACCACTGGTTTTGTAGAGGAAAATGGTGCTTCAAAGGTCCATTTTCAGGTTGGGATGGGTCAAGACCTAAAGCCCACCAGTGGCCCCTGGTCCACTGCAAAAAGACCTTCCACAGTAGACCGAAACCGGTGGGGATCCTGGTGCAATGACCCACAGCATCCCACAGCCGATAGCTAATGCCTGACCAAATTCGATGTTCCTTGTCATGTCCCTTTTCATCCACGGACACAGCAAACATCGTTCGACACCTCGTTCATCCCCTCAGCCAGAACCACTTAGCCATAGCTCGGCCTATGGTTGAAGTCACTCCGTTCTCCTCCTCGTCCTCGCCTTCCGCGTCAGACTTGCCTGTGACGACAAAACGACAACACGTCCAACCCTGCCACCGACGTGTAACTCTCTAGGGTTCTATACAGCCTGCGCGCTCTATCTGGAAATATCTTGGTGATGTCCTTTTGAATGGTTTGCACCACATGGCCGCGGGGGGGGTCTGTCTGCCACAACCGCTCAGGCTGATGCCAGCCTTTGGCAAAGGCACGCTGGATGACAAAGGCCAGGAGGCCACATGAAATCGACAAAACAGCTCCCATCTTGGCCTCGAAAGGGCTCAAAAGGAAAGGCTGCAGTAACTACTGTAGATTGCTGGTCAGCTGTGTTGAATCAAGTGCCTTTCCAAGTTTGAATGTAGTGCAGCTGCCGAAAGACCTCTTCTTTTCATAAATCTTCAATTAGGGTAATTCACCTGAATCTCCCTCTCCGCATGCACAGGCACACTACCATTGAGTCGTTCGGTCCAAGAAGTGCCCATCAGTTCGGAGTTCGGTCCCGCTTTGGACCCGTTCTCCCTCTCGCCCATCTCGCCTGTCCCCGCATCTCAGGCTGGACAAAAGCCTCGTTGGCCACGAACAACGCCACTGTGAGACCTACACCGCCAAGGGCCTCAGGGCGAGCGTCAGTTCGGTGGGCTGATGGATGCCGATGGTGTGAGGCTCAGGCTCAGGCAATGCCCAGATTCCAAGAAATACAACATAGGACACCCAATAGTGCTAAGTGCTGCTGATGTACCGGCACATTCCCATCAAAACGTGAAAACATGCCGAATCTGATACAAGCAGCCGCAGTTGCCACCAAATCAGGCACACTCAGCCCCTTTGGCAAAGGGGCTCCTGCTCGATGCTAGCTGAGCAAATTCTTGTGTTGAAGGCCATGGCTGCTGAGTAAACCAGTAGGCTATTCTCAATGTTACCAAGCTACAAAGAAAATGAACAGGGCTGACATATGTGTGGGGCAGGATGACGACAAAAAGACACTGATTGATAAGGTGCAATACTACAGGCTGCTGTTGAGAGAGGTGCACTTCGGCCCTCCACGAATCACTTTGTGCCTATGCAGTGGCCCAGAAGGCTCATCCCTGCAATGCCCACGGTCTTTCCGACCACTAGCCTCGGCTACGAATCTCGAGGGAGACCTGCAGACCTGCCGGTCCTACTCAAAGCTGCAATCGGGCGTCTGGATGACTAGATGGGCAGAAATAGGCAGACATTCCTTGCATAGCCTTGCCTCGTTGACTCATCTGAAGAAAACAAATATACGGCCCAGGTTCCAGGTACTGTGCATGTATATATACATATATATATATACAGTATATATATATTATAAATGTATATATATACACATCATTAGTGTAGTGATGTGTAGTGTATCTCCGCCGACCCCGCTTATGCCCAGGCAGGGTTCCTGGCACACCGCAACTTGAACAGTTCGCTGCGGCAGTCGCCACGCTGTGCTTTGAAGCCGCAGTTGGACTTCCAACACATCAAGATGGGTCGCCGGCACTGGGTAATCATTAGCTCATTCGCCAATCTTGTTCATATTTGCCCGTGGTCAAAACCCGGAGCCCCAAACCAGGGCAGGTTGACCTCTATTCTGTTCAGTCTTGGTGGTTAAGCCACGGTGTCGTGAAAAAAACACCAAGGCCATTCCCTTTCCATCCCTTCAGCTCGCTTCGTCTCATCCACCACCCGTTCGGCCCAGGTGCGCCAGGCCGACACATGCTGTGACTCCACCGATGGAATCGAGCCTGACATCGATGAAGGGACCGTCTGGTCTTTACCGTCTGGTCGGACGGTTTCATTTTTATTTGTCGCGCAGTTGAAACTGCACACATCGTGGTTCTCTTTAACGTGCGTTCTCACATAGCGTCACATACACCCCAATGTACAGAAGGGTTGGTCAAGTTACACTACAAACTTACACTGCGAGGAAAAGGCTGTCAAAATTGCCGCTGAACCGTCAATGCCTAATGCCGCTGTACAACAACAAGCAGGCTTCGCAGTGGCCAATGATGGCCGCGAATCGCTGAGGCTCTTGCTTGACTCCGGCATTCACCAAGCCAAAAAAGAACATGCCTCAGCATTAAAGGTGGGCGAAACTGGCTAGCAGAATATAGCAGAATTGAATGCCTTGATTGAGCTTCCGGATCTATAGAAACATAGCATAAATTTATGTCTTGAATAGTCAGTGTTGCACGTGGCGGCTGGCAAAGCTGGACAAAATCTTTCAGAATCTAAGTACCCGACCAAAATCAACCACAACCTTAAGTGTGTGCTCGAAAACATGTAGAGGTGCATTCTCCTGCGCGGCACGAACAATGGAGGGTTTCAGCCTCACTCAACGATTCGACTGCGCTACTTTTGCTGTGAAGCTTTAGACTTCAGATTCGGATTATGTTCAGGGCCAGTCTCTCTCTCTCTCTCTCTTTCAAAGCATGATTCAAAATTGGTGTTGATACCTTACAAGAATGGATCCTCAGAATGACGTATTATCGTACATTCTTTCCAAACATGTCTACTCACAAGCGCATGACTCGAACGGAAGTACTGGAACAGCAGTAGGTCAGTGTGAAGATATTTAGGGACTCTCTGTGCCTCGGAAAGCCTGGCAACTCTTCAAGAATACAGAGTGTTTATTGGATAAAACAAATGTACACGAAAGGCATCCTACAGGGAAGCAGATCTCTCACCGAACACCCAATGCCCGGTCCTCGTTGTAGAACATGTTTTTAAAACTGCGGCGGACGAGATGGAGAAGTGCAGGCTTCGAATCGAAGTGGATTTGGAGTGATTGTTTTTGACGATGTAATATGATGTAATCTAAAAAGGGGAAAAGCGATGCAAAGCGTGTATTGATTGGGGCAAATCGTCAAACGGAAGTCTTGAAAATACAGCCCCAAATCCAGCATCTGGGCTCGTTTGGGTGCAAAGCCACCAGTGACATGGCCGCTGGTGGCATGGTTCCTTCCATTTGACTTTCAGACGTTCAGCTATGCACGGAACAAACTTACAAAAAAGTAATTCGACTCAGATTCACCCACTGAAAACAGAAACACCCGATGAGTCAACCCATCTGCCACATTCCCTTTCGGCTGGCGCCTTTTGGTTGCTATGATGGCAGCCTCCGAGACTGCCGAGGAGATCTGGCCAACGCGGCAGAAGGACGCTTGTCACATGGGTGTTCAATTCCCCCTGCAATTCGGCCTCCCTCTTGGACTGTCTGATTCTTTAGGAGGCCACCTGCCACCTTAAAGAATCCTCAATCCACAGTGCCCATACCAACATGTCAGCTTAAAGAATCAGGACTCTGCCAACACATACTGGGCACTGGCCCTAAAAAATCAGAACACGTTGAGCACAGTGCGCACACACTTGTGACACCCGGACTCCCCCTAAAGAATCAGAACACCTGGTACCAGTCCACGATGACAACAGCACACAACCAGTCCATGCGTGTGGCAAAAAGTGCACCTCTAAAGAGTCACACTCCGTTGCCACTCTAAAAAATGCATGGTGAACTCTAAAAAATGGATGGTGAACGGCCTGCTTTTTGACAACCCGGGTTGGCTGATTTCCTAGAGGAAATTGCAAGGGGGATGGTTTTCACATGTTTACACCCACCCGTGGTGACCCCGGTGGCCCACCCGCTCTCCCCAATTCTGCGCGGCGTTGCGGCCACGCAGCACCGAGACCTGCTGTTGCGCAAGCGGAACGAGACGTTTGTTCGCCCAAGTGGCCGAAGTTCGTCTGGACGTGGAGCTCCGCCGTGAGTGGGTGGCCGTCATCAAGTCCTCATGGACGGATTGGTGGGAACCATAGGAAAGAATAAAATTACACCAGCATAGACCCCAGATAGCAAAACATGCAAACAATAATTTCGGACTCCCCCCTGCGTTGGCAGCAGCTCCGAAGCACACACACATGATCACACTGGAAAAACGCCAATGTTCTGGCTGCTTGGAGGAAAAACTCTGTATTTCGACTCATACCACGGTTTGTGAATCTGGCGCTTCAATAATAGATCTGAATGATGCAGACCATATTGACCCACCTGTATCCTGCAATGTTTTTACGAGCACCAAGACCGACTCTTCAGGGCGACGGTGCCAAGCCAGCTCATATTCCGAACTGCTGGATCAACAGTCGAACAACTTCTGGTCTCCGTCAATGTGGGAAGAAAGTCCAAAACCAACGTCACCTGGAACGCTTGGCTACCAAAAGCCTGCTAGCCCAGGATGGCACACTTTCAAGAAGCGGCATGCCTTCGACATCCGCTTCCAAAACAACACTTTGTCAAACTCTAAAATTATGTCATCTTCAAGCACTAGATGTTCACGCAAAGCTCCATCAACCACATCCACAGCTTTGGAATGAGAGCATGCGCAACCATGTTGGCTCCAAAAGTCAACCGCCCCGCAGTTCGCCAGCTTTCCAAGCACCCTGTCTCCACCACGCGCACAGCCAGCACAGGCGCCCAGCACCGGCACCCTGTCTCCGCCACGCGCGCAGCCAGCAACAGCACCCAGCACCGGCACCCTGTCTCCACCACGCGCACAGCACAGCCAGCTCACAGCACCCAGCACCAGCACCACAGCCAGCACCAGCACCCGGCACGCGCACAGCCAGCTCATTGTTACTTGAAGTAAGAACCCCATAGCTGTCGCTATCTGGGAAAAAGAGAAACAAATTAAAGGAACCAATCGGAAAAGCAAATAAAGGTCTAGAAAAACAAATATCTAAAAAGGAAAGCAAAAGAAGATCCAATCCAAACCGAAAACCCATGTTCTTCCCTCAAACCGAAAAAAGATCGAAACGGACTCGACTCGGAAGCTTCGCACGTTTCCGGTTCACCATTCAATTCGCCGTTCGATTGGACCGGAGAATGCCAGGAGCCACGTTCTTAGCGTCCTCTTGCTCCCAGTGGCGATGCCCCTTGCTACTAGTAGCTTGAAACGGACGGACAGCGAGTCGGGCTGAGGCTAGCACTCGAGAACTTGTCTCTGACATAGTGTCAACACGCCCTGCTCATCAGCGCTGCGAGCCAGAGGAAGTTGAAGGCACTAATGTGTGTGGGCTTGCATAAATGTGTTGTAGATATGTGGTGTCAAATGTCCAACTGATGAATATGAGTACCGCTTGATGATTGCTTTGGTGGGTGCCTGATGCATATGGACGCAGCAACAGAATGTCCAGCATGTCGCTTGGATGGAATAGAAGAACCCTAGCTTAGTAGTACATATAATGCATGCATAACATCCAATATCATATACATACAGTATACAATATACATACTGTAATATATTTATTTATATATGTACAGTTAAAAAAAAATAGGCAAGTATAGTCAAGTACATAACTGGTTAACAGCCTTACAAACATTCGTCACGAGAGGATAAGCCTCTTTGGGCCGATGGGTCAAGTGCCTCATGTCATGCTTCAGCACTGGACATGCTTGTTGGCAGACCCTTTATTCAAACTCCTGAATACCACGTTTTCCCTCAGAAACGGCAGAGCCAAAAATCACAGCTGCTGCCCGCCTAGGTCTCTTGGACCCTGTGGTGCAATCGCGTGTGTGGCCGGCATGAAGGGCACGATGAAAACCAGCCTCGGTCTCACTTTGGCCAAACAGGTTTGTATTTGAGGTGTATGTAGAAATCCACTATAGCACATGTCCCATAAAGGTGTTCCCAAAGCAGGGTCTCGTTCTGGCAAAACAAGGCCCTGATCAACTGATCAACTGCCAATTGCCACCTGTGAGTCATGCATCCATTGTGATACCATCAGGCTGAAATACCAAGCGACGCCAAAGCTGGATGAACGTGAGCTTTGAATAGCCCTATCCAAGAGAGTGGCGCCGCCAGGACAATGTAGGCCTGCGACAAGGAAGGAAAATTGGAATGGATCAGCATGTCACATAACTTGTAATGTCCCTTGAACGAGTCAGTTTGACCCGGAATGCAAATGAACAGGAGGTGAGCCTATAGGCACGGCAAACTGGCTTGGCAGTCCGCAGATCAGCTTCCGCTCTTCCAGCAACACAAGCATTTTGTTAAGAACTACGATGCTTGAAGAGTCTTGAAGTATACAGTATACTGTATTATACTGTAGTAATTAGACAACATTACTGTTCAATGTGCAGCCGGAAGTTGTTGCCATACAAGAACCCCGTTGGTTGGTTGCATCAAGCTGGAAAGATCCATGCCTGCCATCGGCTGATTTTGAGCTTCCGCATGATGAAAGCAACTACCATGCCCTGGGAGCACTGGCCCGTGCAGTGAGATACCACCAAACAAGGAAGAAACAGAGAGAGAGAGAGAGAGAGGAAAAAACAAAAAGAAAGAGTCACCATGTGCAGATTGTCCACGCATGATTTCCACAGCAACACCGCCATAGCTCTGCTAGCACGCTAGCGCCACATAGTTCATGCTTTTGCAGTGATAGTTGAGAGAGGATAGCAAGAACTGACTGCCTACCTTCGCCTGCTTTCGCTACGTCGCCAAGTCACAGCAACCACCAGCAGGAGCCAAATGGGATCCACTGGATTTGCGGGATCTGGATAAAAGGCCTTTGCTGATGGTGAGCCTTCAAGCATCCCCCAAGCATGACAGCTTCACTCATCAAAACCAATCGAAGCTAAAAACATACAGTATCTTGTTGTGGATGGACGGAATGAAATATGCTGCAACCACCAAATAAACCAACAGTGGTTTTCAGGGCGTCGCTCAAGCACACCGTGATCAAAAGGAGATTCTCTGGAACTTCTGTGCATTGCGTGGCACAGTTAAGCATTTGCGTGGCCAATACCTGAAAGTTTTGAACATTGAATGTCTTGTTTGGTCATTTTCTGCATGGCTTTGTATGTTTCAAGCATCGCTGTCAGGAGTGATTGGACTGAATGGAGGGTGGTGTGTATGTATGTGTGTGTGCGCGCGTAATCCTGTATTGTGCTGCGGTGCCTTGGTTATCTGATGCGCTAAGTCTGAAACCTCAAGAGAATGGCCACCAATGTAATATCAACGGTCCGGTACGCCAACAAAGTCAGACAGGAGTCACAAAGGATTCTACTTTCCTGGTCCTATGAACTTCCAAGGACCTTCAATTGAGGAGACACCACCTTCAGGCTCCAAAGCAAATGTCCATGACTCTTGCCCACGTGGCCGTGAAAGGGCTCGACTGAGATTGACAGCTGATGTAATTACACCTCTTAATCTCTTACACTCTCATCCAGTTGGTCTGTTCTGATTCTTTTTAATGATTCATGCAGACTCCTCGCACAGTCGCCCACGTCCATCCCACACGTCCCCGTCCCAGGTGCCGCAATGATGATCATCCCCAGTGCATCGTCCAAGATCGCCAACAGCAACCTTCGCATCCGAAGGCTCGGTACATATGCATGAATGTGCTTCGTCCAGGATGCATGATCGCACTGAACGTGGTCCGAGTTATGCAGGGCCGAAATGTCCCTCACTAGTTGACTCGGCACAATGTTGAGCTTCCGGCAAGAAATTGATGGCCGCATGTCCCGGGCCGAAGATCAAAATGGCAAACATCCAGGCCAAGGAAATATCCGTCCTTGGCAAGAATGATGGGTGCTCAACTGAGGAGATCGGAACCGCATGCGTCCATTACTTCCTGACTTTTGCAGTGCATCAGAAATGCACAGAAACGCAATGACTTGACTTGAGTTTGTGCAAGTACACTGCACTGGGTGATGGTCAACAATGAGCCCCAAAAAACGATCTGTTCATTGAGGCAGGTGAATACGGTGAATAGCAGGGTATACACAAACGATGTGATTGTCCAAATGAGTCACAATCCTTAGACCATTAGACCATCTTAGACCGATCTCCGGGCGATGCCCTAACCTGAGCACCGGGCGCTGTAGGGATACCCCAACCCTGCACGAGGAGGAGGGCGTCGAGTTTCGACCCTTTTTGGATGGCGACGGAACGGCACGGAAGAGCTTGGAGCCAACTGGCATCTACTCCAATAGCAATGGCCTCCAACCTTAGAGCGATGGCCTCCAACCTACTCCTGCTGTGGCAACTGTAAAATGCCATGTCCAGGTGAACACAATTAGTGCCAACATGTGCCAACTCCCGCCTTGAGAACGGCTTCCAAGGAGCACTTGGCATTGTAATCGCTGGGTAGAAAGTCATCCCCACCTGCTTCAACTTCAATGATTCTGAGAGGGCTAAGTAGGAGTCCCGACCAATGCTAGAAAGTGAGACCATGCAAATGCTTGGTCAAGTTGGCTTCACAGTCACAGCTGCATGGTTTAAATACAACACATAGAATTGCGTAGATATGAATTATGCAACCGTTCAAATAAACAAACAAGCCAGCATGTTGGAGCAGAGGAGGAGTTGTTACTAGTAGCTTCTTGTTCCTAGTAGTAAGGCCAGGAGCCCCTAGTAGCGTCCTTGTTCCTAAGCCCGAAAATGCACGGCTTCGGACTCTTGGCTCCCAAAATCACGAGAGTGGTGGTCTTCCGCGCCTGCACCCCCTCCGAGCCGCCGGTGGTGATCCTCCGAGTGGTTGGACTCCACTGTACGGTTGAGGTCGTCCGGCAGACACATGGGCTGATCCAAGGAACCTGAACGGACCCATGAGATGAGGCAAGAGCATAAGAGCCCCTAGTAGCGTCCTTGCTCCTAGTAGAGAACAAGATGGTAGGTGCTTGGGAGACACCCGTAACTTACACACACTTGGACCGTAGACCATCTAAGACTAGAACCTCCCCTGCGGACATCGACCAACGCTGAAATCCGAGACATTCTTGTGAAGAGTCGGAGCAGTGTGCCCCCCTGTGACGAGAACTCAACCCCCTTGTGACGAGAAGAACTCTAGGACTCGACGTGCTGCTTTCAAAGGGCAACAACATGCTCCGACCGGACGGATCCTGATAGGACTTGATGCAAACATGAGGCCATCGCTATTAGGTTGGAGGCCATTGCTACTAGGAACAAGAAGCTACTAGTAGCAAGAAGCTACTAGGTGGAGGCCATCGCTGTTAGGTTGGAGGCCATTGCTATTAGCTTGGAGGCCAACGCTTGCCCGTGCGGCCGCTCCTTGCCTGTAGAATAGAATATAAAGGTAAAAACCAAGTATGCCACAGCAGGACCAGCGACCTGAGGGCAACACAGGAGTAGTACAACCGCGAAAAGGGGTCAAAAAGAGCAACATAGAACAACATTGAAGTTGCAAAAAAAAAACAATCCTACAACCGCATCTTCAATTGCTGGCCAAAGCACTCCGCCAAACCTCAGTTGCAGCTTTGACATATCATGTGAGAGTGATGGCCTCGTGCATGTACACACGGACAGTTCTTGCGGTAGAAAAGACTGAAGGTGGGACTCCAAATGATATTCTGTAAATTGCTGCAAGCAAAAGCACGTGCTTGATCAACAGCCGTGGTGTGTCGCGCCTGTCGGACAAATTTTCGTACGGTATTTGCCGGTACTTTTGCCGGTACAGTAGTTTTTAAATGTGTTTCATCTCTCTGTGATGTAAACAATGCTGTTTCTTGGACTTTCTTGCTTTACCGTTCTTCACGGGGCCATTTCACGGGTTGAGGTTGAGCGCTCTAATCTGGTATTGCAGTAACTAATCCTAAAGTGCTAGTGCTCCCCGTGAATCTCTGAAACACAGCTCCGCGGAGCACTTTTCTCAAGTGTGTGTTTGAATTGTGTTTACATGTTCATGTGCACTTGCAAACGCAGTTGATGCTACACGGCAACAGTGACGCGAGACGCCACGCCATCTATCAAGCCTGGCTAGTTTCCCAGGCTAAATCATGTCGGAAATAAAGAAAACATTATCTTGGTGGATTGAGAGGGAAATGTATTGGACATAATAACATATTACGACAAACCCTGCTAAGCAAAAGCGGCAACCCCTCTTGAATGTAAGCTGGTCAAACAGGACCACGATACTTGGCTCAACTGACCATAAACCAGTTGCGAATTGTCCGCAACTGCCCTCTCCACTCTTGTACGCAAACACTGGTTCCAGGCATGCATGCCCTTGCACACCTTCACAACCGAAATCAGAGTTAAGCTCTTGTCCAATTCTACGTGTTCCATTTTCTTGCAGCCCCATGCAGCAACCCGTATTCGAAGACACGTCACCTGGCCTCCACGTATTTCGTCCGTATTTCCTCGCCAAGTCACGTGGCCAACAAGGGATTGGCTGCCCGGCTGATGGGCGACAAGGAGCCGCCCGGAAGGAGAGCCTCTGTCACCTGCGGTCACGTCACCCTTCTCAGCGGTATGCAGTGGAGGGAAAGGACCGAAGTCGAGGTCTGAATCAGAGGTCACATGAGATCAGATCAGTTGACCACATGAGATCAGAAGAGATTATCACACGAGATCATAATGAGTCTGCTTAGATAGTTGGCTCTTGTTGGCTCCTGAGGTGAGTGATACAGATTGGCGTTTTGAGATCTTGGCGCATGGTCACCGAGACGGAATAGCTAGGCCCTTCTTCCCAGTAAGCTTTAACACACAAAGTAGGAGTGCTTCCATCCAAGTTTGGTGTTGCAAGCTCAGTGTACAAGGAGGAACCGGTTTTATTCAACCAAGAGTCAAAACGTGTGAGACCGATTTGGGATGATTTGGGTAAAAACTGGTTGGACATCAGCAAAACTTGCTGATTATCAAAAACCCAAACCTAGCCGGATGGAAGAAATCAGCTTGTTTTGCTGCAACTAAAGACTGACTTCCAGACCGTATTTACAGAGATGAAAGGTAGCTGGTACCTGGTAATTAACAGTGAACCTGAACGAGAAAAACTACAAGAAGTATGACGATTGACCATGGAATGCATTCTCCAAGGTCATGTAGGACACTCAAGTGTGACTCTTGTGGCTGTATAGGAAATCCAGTTTTTGCGTTTCTGACATGATACGGAAAGCATCTAAAAAGCCCATCGGAGAAGAATCAGCAAATCAGCAAATCCTGAGATTCTCCCACCGCTTTGCTGCCTCCTTAATAGCCAGCCCGAAGAAAAAGCACCTTAGTTGAAAAAGGTGTGCATTGTATTTTGCTATCACTGCTGAGCAGCACTTTGAAATCTTAAAATTTACAAGTGCTTGCACCCAAGGCACATGAAAAAATCGTTGATGACAAAGTGCAAATCAACAGCGTGCCCCCCGAGCTTGAAGTCTGCGATCAAGTCAATCAAGTGACTATAATGAGCACCAAGAGCTTTGATTTGTGCGTTTCAAGTGAATCCAAGCGTCGGTGGCATTTCATCAAATGTTATATAATCACGTGTTGACCAGTCACAGAATCTCACAGTCACCAAACTCTTGCAGGACGTGCCTGCAATGGGCGTCCAATGAGCCATCTGCAGGTAGCTCTCTTCATCTAGGTTGCTCCACACCATCGCCAAGCACACCTCAAGGCGTAAGAAAACATTGCGGCAGCAAGCTGGGCGGCCGTGCAATGGGCTTTGCGGCCCAACAGGGTGAACCCACAAGAACCTCGAAGCTGACCGTTCGATTTACGGTCAAAACTGTGTATGTCACAATGTGTCAAAGCTGTCAACAAGCTGTTGGTCACCAACTTGTTGCCTGTGGAGAGTCTGTGGTGTAGACAGTTACAGTAATGTCAATTTGTTCATCTGCTTTGGATTTCCTTGCTTATAACGTTTCGTGTCTTGTGTCCTTAGTTCTTATCTTGAGTATGATTCGTGGAAGCAACCTCACAAAACAGCAGCCCTGCACTTCTTTGCCACTGAGAAACGGTAAGTAAGACAAGTCACGATGTTTTAAGATCACACTTGGTTTCCAACACCCAAGTACTATCATCCATCATAAATTATACCTAAATGATCCGATCGATGTGTTTCAACAAGGAGAATGCCCTGGTAACGGGCCTGGTATGTTTTGTGTGTGTTTCTCTTACGGATCAGATTCTAGGGAGATCATTGTCATAACATCGATGTATTGCGCCAGCTCAGCACCTGGAGGGTCCCCTTTCGCCAAACATGTCAATCTTGCACCGTTCGGTTTGTGCAGGTGGCCTAGCATTAACACAGCCCGTCTCATTACCTGCAGAATATTGGCTATGATCTATAGATGTTCGGTTCGGAGGTGCCTCACCAAATCGGACTTGACAGGTCCGCCGAGCAAAACACAGGGGCAACAGTCTCCAGAGGCCCATGGGAGCTGCAGCCCACACAATCCCTTGGTTGGCTGCTGACTGATCACCTGCGACTGCCAGCTTGCTCCCACTTCAAACCCTAGTCAAACATATTCAAAAATAGAAAAAATGTTATATATCTATAAATACGCTATAACATATAACATATGTTACAGCTGTTTGGCGAGCCTCACAACCAAAAAAAATGTTCCTTCGATCACGCTATGACCTGCTCTTGCCACGGTGCGCGAACTCTTGGGTGTCTGAAATGGACGAGTGGGCGGCTGGGGGCATATGAATGAGTGAACCTCATCAACCTCTTTTCCAGGATACGAATAGTGATTCAGGTTTGACATTTATGACATAATTCAGGTGTGAAATGTGAATCAGGATGGTTGGTTGGTTTGTTGGTTGGTTGCTTGCTTGCTTGTTTGTGTGTTTCTCTGCCCACATGCCAAAGCGACATCTAGATCCATCATGATTCATCAGAGATCATTAGTCGTGCAGAATTCCGCAGATCGATTTGCCAGAGATGTTCATCGCCGAGGAGCGCCAAAGACCAGGGGTATCGAATACTTTTGCAGAATTCCGATGATGTAGTCTCTTCCCGCTCGGAGTCGGCCTGACGGGCGAACGCCTGCGAACGCCCCGAGCCGGGCTTCAAACCGGCGCGCGGATCGACGGATCGACATGCGAAGATCGATCCAGCGAACGCCAACGAGTTGATGAAGGCAAGCAGCCAATCCGCTTGGGCTTTGGCAAACCTCGGTGAAGGACGTGGCTGTTCTCAGCAGCAGTATGCAGCAGCTACAGAGTATATACTTTTTTTGCGCGTGGCCGGTGGCCGGTGGCCGGTCCGAGTCCGGTGGCCGGGCCGGTGGTCGGCGTCCGGTGTGTGGAGTCCGGTGGCCAGGCCGGTGGGGCCGGTGGCCGGAACACCAAAATTGTATATTATGGAGTACTTTTTTATGAGCAGCTAGGGGGTATCTGATGCTTGCACTTATTGACCACTTACGAGCAAGAAAGTCCATGGACATGCAGCGCAGGCATACACCACATTTGCCAGTTGCTGCGTGTCTTGTACATGATACATGCACCCGTCTAAACGTCCTTGAAAATGTAACTGACTCGAACAACCGGGATCTTTTAGGTCTGGAACACTGTCCCATTCCACAACAAGAATGAACACATGTATAACATTTCACAACAGCACATAAGACCCCGTTCAAAGGTGTGCTGCAGGTTTCGATTTGCCACCTTGCATTTCTTGAGCTTGTCTTGTCACCGGACCCCTTGAACCTGTGTTCCGCTCTCCCGACTCCCTGCTCACAAAAGAAAACCTGAGACTTCACCGCAATGGAACATGCTGGACATCTTCTTCTTCTTCTGCAATGATCCCAGAAGCATTTGATCATGCCACTGGTTTGCTGCATTGGGGACAAAGGTCTACGGTTCTCAGAAATGCAAACACATCCTCATCAAGCATGTCCTCTCTATAAAATCAATCCCTGACGTGAGTGGGGATGATGTCTTTTATCGTCCTATATATTATAAACAATTTGATTTTTATATTAATATATAGTTATACAATTAATGTTATACATGTTATATGTTATATAATATGCAGTAACTCCCTCCAATTTATATGGAAAACCGCCATGGGGCCCATGGGGATATTGAAGGGATTCATTGAGTTCATCCACCTTCAGGCCGAATATGACCAGTCCCAGGCCGAGTCCAAAGTTCGGTTTGGTCTGCAGGAGTTCGGTTTGGTTTCAGGTAGGCCATGCACCAAACTTGACGAATAAAAGCTAGATCCAGGGCGCCGTTCTCATCCTCGGAGTCAGAGTCAGAGTCAGAGTCTCCAGCGAACATGGTCGCAATCAGAATTCCTGCCTGGGCGGGACCGAAGAACGAGTCCACAGACCTGGCTTCGTCCTGGGACGAAGGAATCGCTACTAGTAGCAAGGACACTATTTGATGCTATTAGGCGGAGGCAAGGTTGGAGGCCATCGCTACTAGTAACAAGAAGCTACAATATAACATTACAACATGGGTGTTTTTTGGATAGTAATGATACGTATGTTCCATCGGCGAGACCCCTAGACTGGCCATCCCGAACCGACTCAAGCGGACTGGGTATAGACTGATCGATGTACCGAACCGGTCACCGGTTTGGGGGGAGAACGAACGCTGTGTTCGGCGACCAGCTATCGGTGTTCAGCGAGCTTCGCTTCGCTTCGGGGTGTAGGCCAGGACACTCGATGGCTTGTTTTGGCAATCTTCTCCTGAGGAAAGAAAAAAAGGATCAACGGCGGATGAGGATGAGGATGCTTTACCATTGACAACTCACCGAAGCAGGACATGTGTGGTATGATTCACGACATCGTGACATCCATCCTTTTTGGAAGTGCAAACATATTGCAAATGAACGATGTCCAATTGCAGTTCAAATCGCTCCACGGTGATGCTGTTCCTTCAACCCTTTGTGTCCCGCCGCCGCACCTTGCTCGTGACCCGCGCCGCTGCACCGCCCAGCGAGTGCAACGCCAACTCCTTCGGTCGCTTCGCTTCGGTTCTTCGTTCGAAAAGAAGGCCGTCCCAGGTTTGAAAAGGGGTGGGGATTTGGATGGATTTTTGTAAGGGACAGAAAGCTTGTAATTATTGAGATTCTGATGCGACCTCCAAAAGCTAAGAGATCCTAAGGCACCAAGAAGCCAATGTAGCAAGGGATGGGAAAGGGCCGGAGAATGTCTTCCTGTCTTGGTGAAAGGGGAGCGGGCCTAAGAAATCTAGCTGTTCAAAGTGAATTCCAAGTACCTTCAGGAAGAACCCTTCAAGTCATGCCCTCTCTCTAAAGCAGCAAAGAAACTTCCAAGAGATGTGTGGTCAACTGAGTCAACTGCAATCTTATAGAAAGGTCTGGGCTTGCTAGCTATGAAAAGTCACAGGCTTGTGATGGCTGAGCTGGCTCTCAATTCTCTTCTTTATTTGCATAGTCTTGTCAAAAAAGAGTCCTCCTGTCGCCCGTGAGTCATCTACGGCTCAGTGTTGCTGTTCGTGCGCGCCCTTCGTCAGGTGAGTCAGTCCTTTTTGTCAAACGCTGTCTTCAGCTTCGAAGGCTTCTTCTGCAGTGTTCGCCTTTCAGGAGTCTCATCCTGGCGCTCGAGATGAAACAGCTATTAGATCTGGAACAACTCAGCCTCACTGCCGTTTCTCACTGATTAAAGCACGACATGGAACGACGATGTCCGAACGAATCCACTGATGTGCAACCATGGTGTTGTGCAACCAATGCGTATGGCACTCGGTGCTGATGCGTTAGTGTAGCGGTCTTCGTTCCTCTTTACTGAGACCATTGAGGAAAATATAATAATATAATACCTGCATGATTTCGATATATCTATGACACACATGCAGGCTCACGGATGACCAGGTAGTGCTTGACATTGGCGCGTCCAATTGAAATGATGACAGAAACTATGCACCTCACGTTGTGTGTAGGCATGATGAGGTGCATTTGGCGCTTTTTGATGCCTTTCCGGCCGATGCGGCCGATGCCCACGAAAACAAGAGGCCAATGGATCTTGCAAAGTTCAATGCTAACTACAGGCTGTCGAGCTTGGTCACGCGACTTGGAGAATGAATGAGATGCCTGTTCGTTGCAAAAGCCCTGTCGAAGAAATTCTCTTGTTCGCCAAAATGGCCATACTGCCCTTTTAGTTTTTCTGGTGGCCTTGCACTGACACACGGTGCTTGAGATTTGGGGCAAAGTGCAACAGAGGAAGGAAGAGAAGGCAACCAGAATGCAGATGTGGTTTTGCAGAAAGGGCTCCTCTCTTTATGCAAAGCATCAAGACGTCAAGAGATAGCAAAGTCAATCGAGAGTACAGCGTCGGATGCTTTGTTGTTGTTGTTGCTGCTATTTATACTATAGTCATAGATGGTGTTGAATGCATGGCAACTTTTTTGATGACGTGGGTCAGTGTGTGTGTGTGAGGAGAACTCGTTGTGCCATTCAGCGGATTCGCCGGATTTGGAAGTCTCGGCAGTATGCATGCGAGGTGCAGAGTGTTCAGATGTGTCGTGCGCGACAAGAACACAGACCTGGAAACCCAGTCTCAACCAGAAACAAACGGATGTGTACCCAGACCTAGCCACTTTCGAATGATTCTACAAAGGCTTCACTCACTGATGTGAAGAGCTGGATGCTCCCAACCTTCGCTTCCACTGAAACGAGGGAGCCTTCTGAGACATGAACACCGTCCTGCATTCGCCGAGGGCCCGATCGGCCCGATCTCGGTTCATGGATGGAAAGTGTTCTGGTACAAGTAGGCTATCCAGATAGCTGTTGGTACAGCAGTGCAAGTGGCGATTAGCCTTTCAAGGACTAACTGAGAACCAAATTCTGTGGACTGCCAGACATCCGTGTTTGCCACAGAACAAAAAACAAGTACCCTCCATGCGAAGTACTGTGTGTCAAGAAGGAGGGGCCTTTCTCTATAAGATGTTTGATGTTATGCCACTGGATCACCAAATAACTTTTCCGACCTCAACATGAATCAAAGACTCTATCCTTACCGACACCCTCCGTGATGGAGATAGTTCTTCCACAAACTGCCACATGCAGAACACGCAGCAACACAAAAGTGCAAGCAAATATCTTGAAACATTCGTACACATCAATCTCACTACCAACCACAATATACTGTATAAAAGGCAATAGTCAGCCAGTTGATGCCATTTGCCATCTTAGCAGGTTGCAATGTCCTGGGCAGCTACTGCCTGGACACTGGTGCCTCCTTTCCTCAGGTACGGTCAAACATATACGACATATGGTATGTGATATGTGTATATTAATGTGATATCACTACCTGCAAAATCAGGAAAAAACAAATATTGACGTTTCGTTTGGTGTTGCTCGTCAAGCGTAAAGCATCCCGCCTAATTTTCGCGGAAAAGACCGTCGACGCCAAAAAAAGGGGTGAAACTAGATGTTTCAAAGCAATTTAACAGCTTGACCAAACCATGAACGGCACCGGGTGTCCAAATAAAGTAACTTGAGGGGTTCTTCGGATGACCTGTTGGGTTGCAGTACTAGAAGGTAGTCATTGCGTCTTGAGACGTAAGGGGCAAGCGCGTTGATTCGGCCCATCTGTTTTACGACAAGTTGCTTTGAGGCCTCAGCTATTGCTCAAGCAGAATAGATAGAGGTTCGATGTCAAGACATCGAGGAGTTTGACAGCACTTGAAACATGCAAATAGGAAGGCAAGTCAAAATTGAAGGAAGGCTCTGAAAACACAGCTTCTTCCAAGTTGAGTCCTAAGTTGTGTTGTATGCTGTTGTTTGTTTCGCTCTGTTTCGTGCAGCCTTTGCGTTTCGTCCACTCCGACGGCCGACCTCTCCAGGGACTTCCATCCTTCAGCGGACCGCGCGGCCCAAAGGAGATGTGGAAAAAATGCCTGTGTTTTCTTGAAGCCCTCGCTAGTAGGTTGGAGGTCATCGCTTCTAGGTTGGAGGCCGCTCTTAGGTTGAAGCCCTGTGATTAAAGCCCTTTGTGTCCCATGATGTCCCCCATGTCTAGAGAGTCTGTTTGGCCACATGTTTGCATATTTTCCGCTGGTGCTGTGTGCTTCTGTGTCAAGGATCTCATAAACGATCATAAACGAAGCCATTTCTTGAGGGCTTAAACAGAAAAACACTTTAAGGACCAAAGCTTTGACTGCATGTTCTAGGTACTACTCTGATGCCCATGCTTTGCCACGAACGCCACCGCTTGAGCAAGGTTGAGCGGATGTCAGTCACAAGTCATTAGGCATTGTGGTTTCCTCACACCTGAATATATTCTTTTCCGATGGTCACATGAATGGGCCTTCAAAACTGTTTGTCCAATGTTTTCTCCATAATGCAACCTTGTGGAATTCTGTGTGTTGGAACACGGAAAAACCTCTGATTGAGAGGCCAGTTTGGTCATGAAGGACTTGCAAACATTGGTTGCGTGATGACGACCCCATGTCACATGCAGTTCAAGAGCCTGACACGACATCCAGTAGAGCGCCTGGGGGCAATGCAGCCTTCATTGTCCTTGCAGTGAAAAGCCAAAAATGCTTGTGAACAGCTCAAGTCCAACCAGCACAGGGACGTGACCATGACAGAACCAAAGCACTAGTCACTGGATGCGGCCACTCGTAGCAATCAAGTGCACCTCGTGCGCCACCGAACTGACTTACAAAGCGTTCATGATTGTTTCTTCTATTCGGGTTCTAGTACTTGCAAAATCCCAAGTTCCTACCTGAGCGGCCCAATCTATGAGCTCTTCGACTTGTAGAACCGCTCTGTTTTGAAAGTGGACGGGTGTATTTTCAATGCTTTGAGGTGTCTCCTCATCAAACAAAAACAATAATAGCGGTGATAAACACCATCATTGTTGCCCGTGGAACCCTCCAATCGTGATGTGAAAGCATGCGGCTGCATGCTGCCCAGGGAAAAAGGACGGGGTGTCTTCTACCGTCGCCGAAGGCCAACTTCTACCGTCGCTGTCACTTGCCGTGTTTCCGCCATGTTTCCGGTGTTTCGTCGCACGAGGATCGGGGGCCGGGTCGGGCGCATGGGCGACGCGGCACGTTGGGGGACGCGTCTAGCAAGCAGGTCCGCAGGTCCGGGGAAGTGGAGCTGGTGACGAAACGAACGGGCCAGGGTACATGATGGACATGAGGTAGAGAAAGGTGATGGAAAGGAAAAAGCCTGCGCGGGCTCTACAGCCCAGAGAAGTCTCCATTGCTTCTGAAAGTATTGATGTCTTTGACGGCTCTGCACCCCAAACAGAACTTCGGAGCTCATGGGGGCGGCATACCTCTGCACTCGATCTCTTTCACCGCCAACCGGATCTGTTTAATGCAAATTTAAAACATAGAGAATTAGCTCCTTGATCGACGCAGTCTTCGACGGCTCAATCGAAAACTAAACAGTGGCAATCACGATTGCAACTTGCCCTGTACATGAATCCTGATGTAAATCATGGTTGCCACCCCTATACACGGTGTAAATATGTGTAAATCATCTTGATTCCGTTGATTCCCTGGTTCAGTGATACCTCATCCCCTGCCTCTTCTCTGGTTACCTCATCCCTCTAGTTAGTTTACTTCGTACGTCCAAGGCGAAAAGGTGCGATTGGTCCCTGGGGGGTCGCAGCCTGCTTCGTTTCGCAGCCATGCGTCATGCGACATCCGAAAACGGCCAGTCAAGCATGCGATTCGCATGCCTCAAAACTCTCATGTACACTTACTGCCTCAGTCTCAAAAAATGTCATCGCTCCCTTTGACCTACAGAACCCACTGCTTTCTACACAAGCAAAAACAAAATAATCTTTAACTCGTATTAGTGGGCGTCCCCTCCTCGCCATGTTTTTTGGTTTTCGGGAGGGGCCCGCAAATATGGTCCTCTGGAGGATTAGTAGTAGTAGTAGTAGGTAGTAGGTAGTAGGTAGTAGGTAGTAGGTAGTAGGTAGTAGGTAGTAGGTAGTTAGTAGTTAGTAGTTAGTAGTTAGTAGTAGTAGTAGTAGTAGTAGTAGTAAGTAGTAGTAGTAGTAGTAGTAGTAGTAGTAGTAGTAGTAGTAGTAG